ATAGATAAAAAAAACTTTGAACTTTCCTCTATCAATCATTGCAAGGCAAAAGTTCACTTACATTCTATACTTTAAACAGGACGTTTTACAACTTACTGTTATAGATATATCTAATGTTCATATATAGTTGTAGTTAAAGATTAACTAAATTTTGATCGTTAAAAAGTACTTTTTTTTCATAATTTTATAACACATGTTTCACATTTTATACTTGAAATTTGTCTAGAAAAATGTTCAATAGTGATTGTTAAAGTAATAATTCTAAAGAATTTTTAATAAAATGTTATTTCCGATCTTGTTGTGCTTGTTTTAAAACTTTTTAATCTTTCTTTAGAGTATTTTTGAGTGCAGTGGGCTCGAAGTCAATCCAGATCGCTTATTAATACGATAGTACCATCTCGTCTAATAAGAAATCAAAGTAGAGCATGTGACGTTATTATAATCCAACCTGGGTTGAGTTTAAATCCATTGCACTAAAAAACGCTACTAGATAAATAAAAATAATACAAATCGATTTGTCTTTTCTATTAAAACTTTTTCTCAAAGAAAATCCATTTTTATTATTTACAATTGTGTAATTAGTGCTATTGTTTTTATTTCTTTTTTTTTTAATTATTTCGAATTTGTTGTTATGTTTCTGCGTTATATAATTATCTTCTTTTAACAAAAAAAAATCAAATTAAAAAATTAATACGTACATATAGACTTAGAATGCAGTTTATTTGATGTTACAAATGCTTTGAAGTACCATAATCGCAATTAAGTATTTATTATTATGCTATGAATATGCACACATATATTTATATATAATTATTTATTTGTATACTCAATGATGTATGTGTTTATGTTTTATTTCCACTGTGTCACACTTTTAATTTAATGACGTTAATGTAACAACATTCCTGATGAACGCAACGTGTACATAGAACCATAACATAAAAATCCATATTTTGTAAAATAAGAAATTGCAATATAACTTTTAAACATTCTGTACTTCTCATTTCGATCAAAATTTATATGACAGCGAAACATAAATATGATCATAAAGTACAATTTTATAAAAACATTATATATTTATGCGAAATGCAGTATAATCGTGATTGTAGCCACAAGTTTACATTTGCTCTGATCGATCAAAATCTAGTAGAATTGACATCTTGATGGCAGACCACGCGTCGTATTTATTTATTAATTGCTAAGTTTATACAATGCATTCATTATCGATCATTTTGATATCATCTTCGTTGAATAATAATTTATCATAAAGCTCTGTAATGATTCGTTGCATCAACTGCAAAGGGGTAAATTTTTTTCTTTTTAAAAACAATTCTAGCACTAAAACAACAATTTTACTATTTTCTTTTTTATTAGCGTATCGGTTAATTTTTTTATATAATGTCGATGTATGTACAATACAATATCGCAATATATCTATCTTGCCTTCACTAATTTGTATTTTATTGTGTTTTTAATTTCTATTGTGCGATTGTATTATTACAGTATATACATATATGTATAACATTGTGTGTGTGTATGTGTGTGTGTGTGTGTGTATATATATATATATATGCAAAATCTAAAAGATAATGTATAATTGATGAATAAGTGTGTCATAGAAATTGTAAATCAAGTCCTCTTCTTGGTTAAATTGTACGCTAAAGTGAATAAATTCTATTCTATTCTATATATACATACATATGTTGTATTAATCGATGTACAAATATGTGTATATATATATATATATATTCAAGTTTAAAATAAGCAGTAAATACAACGTTAAATAAGTACTAATAAATTTGACTCTTGATTTTCATTGATAATCAAACTAATTATTATCGATGAGAATTGATTTAATTATTCGCTATTAACGCTATTGCTATGTTGTCATCAATCATATCTAACAATAACAGAAAGAGAAAGAGATATATCTATCTCGTGTATATGTATGTGTGTGTAATACTTTGAAAAAATTTAAAGAAAAACAATTAATATATTATCTTTGTTGTTCAACTTTTGTTACATAAAATTACTAACAATAAGAGTAATTTGTAATAACAATTTATAACAGGCTTAAAAGTTCTATCTATTGTTAATTTACAAAAGAAAAAAGCCGTGTTAAGTGTAATTCCTTCGATTTTTCATCTAACATGTCTTGTAAATAAAACGTGACAATTTCACTTTTCACTTTAACGCCATCGAATATATTATAAATCAGTATATTTTATAAATTGGTATAGTCACTTAATTATAGTTAGTTCCAGTCTCGGTCAAAAAAAATATTTCGATAACGTTAGGATTTGCACGTAGATCCCGAAATTAACATTTCCATAGGCTGATGAGCGACGGCCTCGCAACTGTACGTTACATAACGAAAGTAGAGCGTATACGTTTCGTATTGCTCCGCGAGCGCGCGATTGTTCCTTCAAATTTGCACATGAAAAGACGAACGACTGAGTGAGAAAATTTATTTTCATAAAGAACAAGTATATGCTGGTCGTAAACTCGAGATATATTTCATGGAAAAGTCAAAAACGCAACGGATCTTATCGTATACTAATCGATAAATCTATCTTGATCCCACAGTCAATTCTCATACTTGCCAAAAATGATATAAATTAAAATTTTAAAAATACATAAAAATTAATACCTGAAAAATTAAAATGTCTCGATTTTTATAATTGTTCATCCACCCTCTTCGATAATTGATTTCCGAATCGTCGTCTGGTACCTCTTCCATACACGAAATCAAACTTGACGATGGATTACTGAAGCCGATCCATCTGGCTTACCTGCGGAAATTCAATCGAGCCGCGCGGAATCTATCTGTGCGTTGCGGTAGATTCTGGCGAACCTCCGAATCTGATGACGATGCGGGCGCCGATCGCGACCGGCGATAAGGCGAAAAATTCGCGGCAAACGACTTGACGGAATGAACAGACGAAGGAGGTTCAAGAACGAGTGACGTGGACGTCCCACGGCGTCGACTCATATACTCTACCCGCGCAATCTGACGTCACGGGCGCGTTTCTTATCAGCCAGGAGGTCCAACACCTGTAGAGCCCACACCTGTTAGCGGTGAGCTTAAGCGCCGTCGGAAACACGCCCAACTTGTCCGACGACGACGACAATGATGACGGAAGTTTTTTCGTGAAGTGCTACCCACAGATCGCTAAAATGTGCATCCGGTATTCGATACTGCATTAATAGTAACGTCGGATCTTTATCATTATCTATAGATGTTTAAATATCTAATTTGTTAACATTTAAATAATATCAATTCTCTAACATCTTAAATTTTACCTTAATTTTTATAATTCTCTAATACCTTAAATATCCTAAATTTTAGAATTTTTACAATTTTTTTTACCTCGAATTTTACAATTTTTAATTAAACAAGGAAAAAGTAAATGTCTATGACTTCAGATCATTTAAATTTTTTAAGAAATTATCTAAAGTGCCTTATATCGAAGTACTGTAAGTTATATATAAAAAATAAATTTATTAAAAAAATAACTTGTTGAAAAAAAATTTCAATTAACTTAACATAATCACTGAATATAATAAAACTATAACTAATAGAATAAAAAATCCATAAACCTATATTGATCAGTGAATAGATAGAAAATAAAATTTATGAAGGAAAAATAAAATTAATTATACTAAGTTTATAAGTTACCACCCTAGCACATATATTAGTTTATAATGCATTATTGTTTTTTCATGAATATTAGTGTGATCCGAATACTCGGAAAATGGTGAAATATTATATCTAAAAAATAAATGATAGATATATGGTTACTTATTATACTTATTTTACTTATTATAGTGTAGTAAGATGAGAAGATGCATGGAAAATTGTAATTGACCTTCAAAATATGTGTATTTTTATAAAAACTATTAAAGAGTATTGTGAAGTGGTTAAAAAATTATACTTTCGCACCATAAAAATTATTAATGTTCCGAGATAACGGAGTTTAATCACTACCATCTAGGTATAAAACATAGATAACAAACAATCGTATTATATCAATTTTATTAATCTAAACACTTTGGATTACCTTAAACAGTCAATGACCCATGGTATTCTCCATGACTCACGGTGCCCCGGTCTCCCTTATATATATACATACATGCATATATACATATATATATATATATATAGTACATACACACGTATACGTGTACATCCATATATATATCATGTTAATTTTTTATTAAAAATACTTTTATAAAAATTTAAATGCAATGCGTCAAAACTTGGTTTTATAAATATCACATAACAATTATTCAATATTTTTAATTATGTGAAACATTTTTTTGTTAAAAAAATTCATTTTTTTCAATAAGCGTTTTGCATTTATGCGTGTTTTATTCTTTTAGTTCTTAGAGAAAATTAAATTCCTATACTCTCTCTCTCTCTCTCTCTCTCTCTCTCTCTCTC